TGTTCGTTGTTGAAAATGAAGCTGGTTTTAGTCGTTGTAAATTCTAAGAGAGAAGCAAAAGTGTGCTGGAGATGTGCATTATCCTGTTGGGATCATTAATGTAGAGGTTGAGTGCAATATTGAATATCAATTTTTGTTTTGTTTGTCGTTAAACATAAGAATACAGAATGGGCTATCTGTGCTTTAACCACTGATAGTATCGACACGATCTTTAACTTTATAAGCTTTCAGACTTACCGTTGACTCATTGGGATTTGATTTCAGGAACAATGAGATCGCAGCAATTCGGTACATAAAGTTTACGAGTTAATATTTCAAAATGCTTCAAAAAAAATATCTTGTCCCAATTCTTTGTTTTTCTATCATTTGCTTTATTCTGTCAAGTTTTTGTTGTACCTGTGCTTATACAAATGCTTATATATGTAACAGGAGTAAAACAATAAAGCTTCTTGTACTCGTGTTTCGGTATATAACAAGAGCAAACCAAATGTAACTTAGAGGAACAAAGAAGCTTAAAGAAATGTCAACAAATACTTTTATTTAATCAACATCATTTGCAGGGAACCTCAAGTTTTACAAGAGAGAAGAAGAAAAGGTCAGATGGATGAAGTAGAACGGTTTAATAATGAACTAGAAACAAACTGACATATCAAATGGTAGACCTCTAAGTGACACAAAGCAATGAGAAAAATAAGCTAAGAGATGGATTGATAACTCTAAGAATACGAATTTTCATCAGTGAGCATTTACACGAATGAGCACCCTTGTGGCGTAAATTACACATACATAAAGTCCATAAACATATTCACAAACTCTTAATTCAACTTTTTTTATTTTTGCGTAAATGGGATGAAATGAAGAAGAGTGTAAAGAGGCAATATCTTTAAATTATTAAGTATAGACGAAAATATATCCTTCGTTAGAATTGTGTGCCCATAAATAATAATGGGTAAAATAATATCGCTTGAACTTTAATTAATATAGTTTCATTACGTTTAATATACACAAATAAAGCGTATTTTGGTATTGCTTTGAAAATCTGAATTAGTAAGTCACAAATAAATTTTATTTTGATATTGCCTTGGAATCTGAATTAGTTTGTCAGTAATAAAGTGTATTTTATTATTGCCTTGACTTATGAACTAGTAGTCATAATTAAATTGTATTTTGGTATTTCTTTGAATTATGAATTAGTAAGTCATAAATAAAGTGTGTTTTGGTATTGCCTTGAATTATAAACTAGTAGTCATAATTAAATTGTATTTTGGTATTGCCTTAAATTCTGAATTAGTAAGTCAATACATAAATCAAATAACTTCATACGATTAAATGTCAATGAGAAAGACACTTGCGCTATAAATGTGTATGTGTGGATCTATTCACAGGATTAGAATCACTTATAACTAATGTCCATGCTACTTATGTTAACTTATCCCACTTCGCTTACGGAAATTAGAAATGCAAATTGACTAAACACTAATAAATTCAAACAGATACATTTAAAAGTACATAAAAGTTTATATATGTGTGACAGTTTTATATGTATATATATTTTAATTTATAAATATATATAAGTGATGCCTCTTCCTATATGTTAGGTAAACAACAACGTTTGGGAAAATAAGGTTAAAATCACTATCATCTAAGTTGGGTTCATATATAAGCTTACTTCACATACGCCCTTAGTTGATATAATATTAGAGCTAAACATATATATATATATATATATATATATACGTGTGTGTTAGTATTTGTTCACAGTTCTGCATCTTTCAACATTTATCGCAAAATAAGTTAAATAACTCAAATATTTGAACAATCACCAGAAACATGCCCGCAGAAAGGTATTTCAGTTTCCGGACTCGTTACAATCTTTGATTTAACATACAACAGTTTACCTAATATTACCTGGAAAGAGAAACATTTCCAGCTTCAAGGGACAGGAATGTAGAATTAGTGCACTGAAGCAAGAGATACAAATAAGACTGAGAAACAGAACGATGTTTTATGCAGTACTGTCAAAACATGCTTGATAGCTAATCATGCAAAAATATTCCAAAACTTCCAACTCTTTAAAACCGACTGCTTATTCTTTACCGATTTCCTCTTAATACACGTTTATATTTTGAAGACTTGGAAATGTTACAATTCTTGTTGGAAATGTGATAGAAATACACCCAGAATTCTTATGGAAAGAACCCTCATTGTCATTCTAAAAGTGGCTAGCGTTCTCTACGGCTATTCGGTATCAGTAGTCTCTGTACGATAGACAATCAGCGACATCGTCTTGCAGCCACTAAACCAGAACGTGAACTTCCTGCTGCTGTTTCTTTAAGTACACGTCCAATAAAGTTGTCATCACCGTTGCTGAGTGAGCAAGAAGGCGGCTAAAATACTGATCAATAGGCTCTTTGTTGGCAATAAACCTTTAGCTAAAGATGCATGTTTCCCATGCTGCATTGCAGCTGGATTTTCACCTGAAATAGAAGATCGGGCATTTATGAAACATAACTATTTAAGTCTCTATTTAAGAATCATTATTAAAATAGAAATAATTCGATGTAAATAATTGAAGCTTCTTACCAGGTTTTGTTTTGCTTATTAGCATTAGTGTGTAAGGTTTTGATATGTTAGTTCTACACTATTATATTACGTTTACCATGTAAAATTCAATCGACTTTAAAATCTAGAATTATGCATTGCAAATCGAATTGTACACCGTTTCTTACTCTGGACAAGTCAGTAGTAATTTGTTTGTTTGTTAGGAATTTCGCGCAAATGTACACAGTGTAAGACTAGAGGGAAGGCAGCTAGTTATCACCACCCACCGCCAACTCTTCGACTACTCTTTTACCAACGAATAGTGGGATTGACCGTCACATTATAATGCCCCCACGGCTGAAAGGGCGAGCACGTTTGTTGGGACGGGGATTCGAACCCAGACTGCTAGTCGAGTGCCCTAACCACCTGGCCATGCCGGGCCGTCAGTAGTAATATTTCGCCAATATCGCTTATATTAAAACTGTATTATTTCTGATTGATGGAATAATCTTAAGGTAAGCACTCCAATATTTTATCACTTAATAAATGGCAGCTATGAGAATAACTGTCATATTTAAAATAATTACATTTTAAATATTATATGTTTAAGTGGAACTAACTTCATAAAAGGCACATTGAGAATAATAAGTTTTATACAAGAAAGTTTGGCCATGATGCCTGTAATTAATAAATTGAGTGAATTTTCTCTTTGGAACTACCTTTCAACAAAGTAAAAACTATTGTTATTTTAGTGATCAAGGAACTAAAGACAAGGTATACAATGTATCAAAAAACTCTTTGATAGAACAGTTGAACAATAGTCACATGATCCTGCAGAACAGTTGAACAATAGTCACATGATCCTGCACATTGATACTCATATCACCAAATGTATTGTTCATACAAAATAGCAAGACTAGAAAATAAAAACAATGATAATTGGCAGTAAAAAAGGTTTTAAAATACCCCGCACAAATTCAGACTTTCCTGAATAAAAGTAAAATGTAATCTTTTTCCTTATAATCACTAAGTATTTACACAGATAAAAAGATATGTGTAATGATGACTGATGAATGCACAATAACATTCGTACGTACTCTAGACGTCGGGTTTTAGAGTTTTCTAATTTATTTGAAAGATTAGTGTAAAACACACATAAATTACAGTAGGGGATAGACATTTTACGTTTATCATTGTTGGTTTAAATTGGATAAAATTTTCATCGAGTAACTGACACAGGTAAATGTATTAGTATTAAAGAAATACGTATGCTAATAGAACTTAAATGTTGCTTTCCAAAACTTTGCACGTAAATGAACATATTGATTCAGATTTATAGGCTAGATATTTTTAAAACAAAATTAATCATTAAATCGAGTTTGGAAGTAGTATATACCATTGAACAACTTTCTATTTAAACACACTAAGTTTATTTCTCAACATAACTTTCTTTGGCAATGTTTAATTTAAACACCTATAAATAAAATCGTTTATACACCTATATATATTAGATCGTCAAGAAATTAATGTCGCGTTTTGGAACCCTTTCATTTACCCCCCCCCCCCCAAAAAAACGTACATCACGTATAATAGTTAAACGAACGGCTTAAACGTCACGTTAGTGTA